CTGGCCGCGGCGGCCATTGGAGGGTGAACCAACGGCAAAGGAAGACCTTTCTCTCTGTCTCTCTCTCTCTCACTGTCCACTCTGCCTGTCAAAAAAAAAAAAAAAAAAGAAAAGTAAAACTTTTGGATTATAGTGGTTTTCCCCCCCATAACCACTGTCCCATCCGCAACCATCCCATCTCCCACTCCCTCTCCCATCCCATTCTTCATCAGATTCATTTCAATTATCTTTATATAGAGAACATCAATTTAGTATATACTAGGTAAAGATTTCAACAGACTGCACCCACACAGACACACAAAGTGTAGGGTACTGTTTGAAGACTAATTTTACCGTTAATTCTCAGTACGACACATTAAGGACAGAGATCCTATGTGGGGAATAAGTGCACAGTGACTCCTGTTCTTGATTTAACAATTGACACTCTTATTTGTGATGTCAGTAATCACCCGAGGCTCTTGTCACGAGCTGCCAAGGCTGTGGAAGCCTCTTGAGTCCACAATTGTGACCTTATTTAGACAAGGCCATAGTCAAAGTGGAAGTTCTCTCCTCCCTTCAGAGGAAGGTACCTCCTTCTTTGATGGCCCGTTTTTTCCACTGGGATCTCACTCACAGAGATCTTTCAATTAGGTCATTTTTGCAGTGTCTTGTCTTTCCATGCCTGGGAAACTCTCATGGGCTTTTTAGCCAGGTCCGAATGCCGTAAGGGCTGATTCTGAGGCAAGCGTGCTGTCTAAACCTTCTCTTCATACCTCACGTTCTTCAGCTCAAGTTCTATTTACTTCCAAAGCCCTTACTAGCCAAGCCCCTTTCTAGCTCTTCACTGTCTCATTCACCATACCTCTCTTTCTCCCACCTAAGAATCCCAACCTTATCTCAGAACCAGCCCTTTAGGTCTACTGCCCACCTTGTCTACTCCCTTTGCCTTATCTATGATCCTCTCTAACACCCTCCTGGATAAGCAAAGGCAAGTTCAGGAACAGGTTGTCTCCATGCCATCACCCTCTAGCCCAGGTCCTCCAAATAACCTTCACTCCTCCCTCTGTTCCAATTTTACCATAAGAATAGCAAGGGAGTGGTGAGTCCATCCTCTTGAGCTAACAATCTACTGTAATCAAATCACCTATCTTCACCCTTCTAATAGCTCGTTGCTTTGTCATGAGCAAGCCAGGTGTGATTATCAGATCTTTTGATAGGTTTTATCCCTAATTGAATGTCAAGTTGGCCTTGCCAGGTCTCCTCAATTCCTACAAACTCAATTTCCTGGTCCTAGTAGTGAGCATTTCCTAGACATTTCATTTATTAGCACTGGGTTAACAGCGAAAACTACCTCTCTCTTCCTAAACCCCCCTCCTCCGTTCTGACACTCTCTCCTGCGTAAAAGCCTAAACTGCTAAAAAATACACAGTAAACCTCACCAAAGAGCCTTCCTTGCATCTTCTGCCTTCCTTATCAGAGTCCTTGCAGTGCTCTACAAGTGCCCCAACAAGCAGCTCTGCTCTTTAAACTTAATTTCAAACACGCCCTGCTCTCTGTATGGGCAGACTCAGCTCTAAGGTCCCCCTTCAAAGACAACATTACTCTTAAGGTATCTTCCAATCTCTGTGAAATAATAATGACTACTAGCCCTTCAAACCAGCATGCCTACCTGGTTAATTACTATTTTCAGACATGTCTCCTTTTCCCTAGTTGCCCCTTACTCTGTCACCTATCAGATCAAATCTCTCCAACCAGAGGGGTATCCTTCTACTCTGATGAATGCTCTCCCCTATTAAACCTAACATGATGAACAATCTCCAGTGGAACACTAAATTCAAATTCAATTAAACTCTAAAAACATGTGTTAGGTAAATAACAATCTTGTACATGAAAATTTCGTTCAGCTGTAGCTGGACATTGGTTTTAAAAGAATTTCTTGAATCTAGGAAAATCACTGCCTTTAAAAATATTGTTTTGTAACTTGCCAAACATGGTTTGCAATTTGGTTTTAACAGCTTTCCCATTATATAGCAATGGATAATAAGTATACAGCCCCTAAGGTGGACTTTCCAATGTCTGTTTTCATGTTGCTGATTTAAAGCTAGAGTTTCATAAAAAGAAGTAGAATTCAATATTGAATAGATGCAATTTTGACCTTAATTTAGATAGAGGTATGATAAAATACCAGCACCTTCAGTCATCCAGGTATAATTTCTAAATGCAAATTTTATAAGCAATTGAGATAAATGTGCTTAAATGTAAAGTGATCTGCACCCCCATGTTTATTGCAGCTAGACACCCTGTCTTATAAAGTTTAAAGGGGAGTGGTTAACTAGCACCTCTACCAGGTCCCAGGTGAAAGGAGGTACATCCTGGGAAGGGAGTGATTTGACTTAGGCACGAAGGTAGTGTTACACAGGGTGTGGTGGGGAGTGTGTTTTCCAGTTTATGGCCCTAATCTAACTACCTGTCTTATCCCATATTATAACTATATTTTTATTTTTATTTCTTTTTTTTTTGTAGTACTTTTTTTTTTTTTGACAGGCAGAGTGGACAGTGAGAGAGAGAGAGAGAGACAGAGAGAAGAGAAAGGTCTTCCTTTTTGGTTGGTTCACCCCCCAGTGGCCGCTGCGGCTGGCGTGCTGTGGCCGGCACACCGTGCTGATCCAAAGCCAGGAGCCAGGTGCTTCTCCTGGTCTCCCATGTGGGTGCAGGGCCCAAGGACCTGGGCCATCCTCCACTGCACTCCCAGGCCACAGCAGAGGGCTGGACTGAAAGAGGAGCAACCGGGACAGAATCCCGCGCCCTGACCGGGACTAGAACCCAGGGTGCCGGCGCTGCAGGTGGAGGATTAGCCTAGTGAGCCACAGCGCCGGCCTATTTTTATTTCAAATGCTTTATAGAAACAGGCCTTCAGAAACTGCAGTGATAAAGAAAATGTGGTATATATACACTATGGAATACTACACAGCCATAAAATTGAAATCCTGTCTTTTGTAACAAAATGGATGCAACTGGAAAGCATTATACTTAGTGAAATAAGCCAGTACCCAAAAGATAGATACCATATGTTTTCTCCATATTCATTTACGTTTGTTCAGTAATATTAAATGTGTTCTTACTGTACAACCAGCAGTTCATGACCTAGGTATTCTACTTATGATCTAATATTCTTAGGAAAGCAGTAGAGGATGACCCAAGTCATTGGGCCCCTGCACCCACATGGGAGACCTAGAAGAAGCTCCCAGCTCCTGGCTTCAGCTTGGCCCAGCCCTAGCCATTGTGGCCATTTGGTGAGTGAGCCAGTGGATGGAAGATCTCTTTATCTCTCTGTCTCTCTTTCTGTGGCTCTGCCTTTCAAATAAACAAGTAAGTATTTTTTTTTAAAAAGTTAAAAAATGACATACAGGTTTTTTTTTACAAAGAAAGTGATGAAAAATATATGAAAAATGGTCATTTTCATTAGTTATTAGGAAACTATAAATAAGTACCATTTTATTACCTCACACATATTGGATAGTGTTAGGAAACTGGCGCAGTTGTAGCCAGGTGGCCGCATGGCCCAGCTACCTGAGCCAGGCTCCACCCCCATCCTAATGGGATTCGCTGCTCCTGCTTCCCTGCCCGCCCTCAGGCAAAGTTTTAAAAGGGCCTGTTCCTGCACACATGTTCTCTTGGCTCTGCTCTCCTGCACTCCTGGCTCTTCTCTCCTGCGCTCTCTCCTCTCTCTTGGCTCATCTCTCTACTCTATCTTCTCTCCTCTGTCTCTCTCTTATACTCTCTTTCTCTCTTTTTTCCTTTGCTGCCCCTTCACTCCGGTCTGTAGGGTGTTCCCCAGTAAACCCTTTCCCTTACTCAGGTGTTTGGTGTGTTTTGCGACGGCTGACATTAATATATAACAGATAGATATACATTTTTAATCAGAAATGACAATTACTGACAAAGGTATGAAAAACAGTGGGAATTGCCAGTAGGGTTCCTTCTGTGGAAATAGTTTTGCTGTTCCTCCAATGTAAAAAATAGAAATTATCATGTGTCCCAGAAGCTCCACTTCTATCAATAGAAAAATTGGAAACAGCTATCTAAAGAGATCCATGTGCAAGTGTATTTTTAAGCAGCAATATTCCCCATAGGTAAGTGATGAAAAGGATCCAGATGTTCAGCAATCATTTCATGGGTAAATGAACAACATACTAATCAGTGCTGCAACATAGGTGAACTTTACAACAATATACTCAATGGCACATTAGCAGGAAGGTAGGTGTGAAGTAGCAAAGAGACACACTGGTGTTACAGGGATGCCAATGTTACAAGCAACAGGTTAACCCACTGCACTACAACACTGGTCTTGCATCAGTGTGCCCATTCTTTGTGACTTAAAAGCCTGAAGTTGCAGATTTGCATGATGTCTAATTCAAAATTATATTAGCACATAACTTATCTAATAATGTAACATTTATATCAACTATTATTTTAAATTTGACATTTGGAGTTTGCAACACAGAATGCATGTGCTTTTTATTTTCTTATTTCCATAAATGACATTCAACATTTAAATCTCAAACTCCATAATTCATCCTGTTATCAGCTTTACAGAAGAGGAAATGAGGCATTGGTTTCTCCTCAAGTATAATTTTAGGAGTCTGAAAGAAATCGTGAATCCCTGGCCAGAGATTATTAATTAAAATTTAGAAATAACTGCTTTTCAGTTCTGGAAAATGTCGATCTCTTCCGCTTTACTTGCCATTTGCCTTTGTTGTCTTTTTTTAAAAATTGAATTTCTGAGTTCCCTACTACCCACTGTGATGTACGATTTGTGACCAAAAACCTATTTATGTCTTACCATCTTATCGTTAGTCACTGAACATACATTTATATCTAAGTCTTAACAATTTTAGTAACTCCAGCCATGAGGCAGAACCGCTATCCTCGTTCTCACTTTTATGTTAGTTAGGCGTTGATGACGTCATGCATAATTCATAAGGAGGCGTGGTCCTCCTACATCCTGGTCACCGAATCCAACAAACATATTGCTCAGCTTCCGGTTTGGCGGTCGCCATCTTTCTTCAGCGCCTAGTGAAGGAGGACAACAATTTCAACGGCTTTGGGAGTGGAAGGCGACAGCCCCAAGTCTAGCTGGTCAAGCCAGCAGGGAGCAGTAGGGAGACGGCGGCAGCGTGTGACTGACCTTGGCTCGTTGAGGTGTCCACCACAGCGGAAGAATCAGAAAACGGCATCTGGTAACTTACAGCCTTTCTTGCTTTATCACTGCTAGTAGATGTGTTGGGGCATTGAAAGGGCCTGCGTAGTCGCTGAGCCGGGCTGTTGTGGCGCAAACGCTTTTTTGAGGGCAGGTTGGAAAGCGAGAATCGGGAGGGAGTGGAGGACAGCGTGGAGAGGGGGCTTACAAGCAGAAACAGTGGGAGTAGAGGAATTAGAAGATGCAGAGGGAAGCGAGGAGGGAAATGACGAGTAGAACAGGCGGCAGGGAATGGGGGAGGAGAGGCAGGGAGGCGTGCCCACAGAGGTGGGGGAGAGGAAGTTCAGTTTGGAAAGGAGGAACAGAGCCTGGAAATGCAGACTGGGGGAGGGGAAAAGGAAAGCAGGTTTTGGAGAGGGGGCGCCCAAACACAACTGATTCTGGGATTTAGCTGACACGCATTTAATCAACCCACATACCAGGGCTCATGTTTTAGTGTATCAGGCTTTACTGCTCTGAGCCTGGAACCATATTCTGCCGGTCCTAGCGTCTGATATCTGAATGTTTCCTGTAGCGTTTCACTTTTGAATCTTCGTGGTCTTTACTTCCTCTGTAGGGTCTTTAAAATCCTTAGGCGCCCTGACCCTCCCGTATTTGTCCCACAGCTTCTAACAGAGACCAAATTCTAAGGAAGATTAGTTTGCTTTTTAGCTTCCCCCCAATGTAGAACTTTATATGACATTTTCCTTCAGATATATCTCTTCCCTTGCTGTTTGACCCCCAGATTAACTTAGGAGCTAAAGCAGGACCAGGCTCTGTGGCAGACCGTATTTACTTTGCCTCTGAGATCTCATTTTTGGTTGTACTTTCTGTGTAGCCCAGAAATTCTATTTGGATCGTTTAAATTAGTTTTTAGAAAGTTGTCAAATCCAAAATCTGCCTTTGGAGACTTCCATGAACTGACCGTTAGGAAGACCCCTACACCCAATATTGGCCCCACCTCCACAATGCAAATTACATCACCTTCCAATGGAAACTCTTCTTCACTAGCCATTTAGAGGCACACTTCCAGGATATACTTTTATGGAATACTATTCTCCGCAGGGTGTCAGAATTCTTTTCAGAAAACTCTCAGTGTCTCCCCTAAGATGTACCCCAAAGACCGTACATCAAAGAAATACATGTTTGGACTCATAGTTATCAGAAGTCTATACCATTCCCACTAGTATTTTTCCCTCACAGATCCTATCAAATTTGTTATTAATTGTGAGACCCCCCCCCCCTTCAGCTCCCCTGCTGGATGTCCACCTGTGTTCTCTTTTTTTTTTTTTTTTTTTAATTTTTTTGACAGGCAGAGTGGACAGTGAGAAAGAGAGACAGAGAGAAAGGTCTTCCTTTGCCGTTGGTTCACCCTCCAAGGGCCGCCGCGGCCGCTGCGCTGCAACCGGCGCACCGCGCTGATCCGATGGCAGGAGCCAGGAGCCAGGTGCTTTTCCTGGTCTCCCATGGGGTGCAGGGCCCAAGCACCTGGGCCATCCTCCACTGCACTCCCTGGCCACACGCAGAGAGCTGGCCTGGAAGAGGGGCAACCGGGACAGAATCCGGCACCCCGACCGGGACTAGAACCCGGTGTGCCGGCGCCGCTAGGCGGAGGATTAGCCTAGTGAGCCGCGGCGCCGGCCTCACCTGTGTTCTCTTAAAAGGGTGTAGAAGCTGGTACCTGCAAAGCTGGCATCCCCTGTGCATGCTTGTCCATGTGCAGGTTGCTGCACTTCAAATCCAGCTCCCTGTTAATGGCCTTGGAGAAGCAGGAGATGGTAGCGCAAGTGTTTGGGCCCCAGCTACAATATGGGAGAAATGGATAAAGCTCCTGGCTTTGTGCTAGCCCCGTTCCCATTGGGGCATGAGGGGAGTGAGCCAGCAGATGGAGAATGTGTCTGTCTCTCTCCCTGTCTCCCCTGCTTATAAGTATGATTTTCAAGTGAATAAATAAAATAAATAAATAAATCGCTTTAAAAATCAGAGTTTAAAATTATGTTTCTGGGGCCGGTGCCGCAGCTCACTAGGCTAACCAACGGCAAAGGAAGACCTTTCTCTCTGTCTCTCTCTCTCACTGTCCACTCTGCCTGTCAAAAAAATAAAAAAAAAAAATTAAAAAAAAATTATGTTTCTGGTCAACATGTGAGACAATTATTAGTTGCTACTTGGGATACCCAAATTCCTTAGTAGAGTGCCTGTTTGAAATCCTGGTCATTGTGATTGCAATTCAGCCTCCTGGCTTTGGCATGGCACATCTCTGGCTGTTTTGGGGATTTGGGAAGGGAACCACTGGAAGGGAGATATCTCACATTCATGAGACTCATTTTCTATGTTTCTCTTTCACTGACATTCAAATAAAATTTGTAAAAAACAATTTAAAAAAGTCAAAATGGGGTTCAGTATTACTGAGTGGTGAAACTGAGCCTCACTTTTTTTTTTAAGATTTTTATTTATTTATTTGGCAGGTAGAGTTACTAAAGACAGTGAGAGAGAGAGAGAGAGAGAGACAGAGAGAAAGGTCTTCCTTCCGTTGGTTCACTCCCCAAACGGCCGCAACAGCCGACGCTGCGCAGATCCGAAGCCAGGAGCCAGGTGCTTCTCCTGGTCTCCCATGTGGGCGCAGGGGCCCAAGCACTTGGGCCATCCTCCACTGGCCTCCGGGGCCACAGCAGAGAGCTGAACTGGAGGAAGAGCAAGTGGGACCAGAACCTGGCGCCCGCATGAGATGCTGGTGCTGCAGGTGGAGGATTAACCTAGTGCGCCACCATGCAGGCCCCTGAGCCTCACTTTCCATCTAGCAAGTTTGAATCTAATAATTTGGGCCCTACACTGTTTAAACTCAGCCTCAGTTTTCCTTCAGGATAACCTCAGTAGCGTGTCCTGTGTTTCTTTAAAGATGGTATATTAATACTAAAGCTCTGTTCTTTCCCAGAATTGCTTCTGACAAAAAATCCCATCCTTAAGTACCTTATGTTTTATGCTGGCTTTCTGGTAGATGTCTAGCTCACTCTCATCTAAGAAACGCCGTGTTTCTGGGCCTGATTCAACACTAGAGTCTCACTGTTTCCCTACCTACCCTGTGACGTTGGAAGTGCCCTCAGAACCAACCAACGTAAGTGTTTTCTCCATGGAAATCTGAGAAGTGGGTATGTAGCATGATCTGAAGAAAGTGCCTTTATCCATCTCTCCATGTTCCATTAATGCCTGTTTTCCCAACTCTGTTTTTCTCTCCTCCATCCATAGGGAATGCAGAAAAGTATTGAAACAGACATAGATGAAGGTCTTTACTCCCGCCAGCTGTAAGTGGGTCCAGAGCTAATGATGAGTGTTGAAAATAGGTGCAGCAAGATTATGGTTTGACCCAGAGGCCTCTCTGAATCTGGCAGGTATGTGCTGGGTCATGAAGCAATGAAGCGTCTTCAGACATCCAGTGTGCTAGTGTCAGGCCTGCAGGGCCTGGGTGTTGAGATCGCCAAGAACATCATCCTTGGTGGGGTGAAAGCTGTTACCCTGCATGACCAGGGCACTGCCCAGTGGGCTGATCTCTCTTCTCAGGTACCTCATTTCTGCTTTCTTAACCATTGGAAAGACAAACTCCTTAGACTCCTCATGTAGTTCAGTTCTCTTTTTTAATACTGTAGTACTACCTACGGGAAGAAGATATTGGTAAAAACCGAGCTGAAGTATCCCAACCCCGCCTTGCTGAACTCAACAGCTACGTGCCTGTCAGCACCTATACAGGACCGCTGTTTGTTGAGGACTTCCTTAGAGATTTCCAGGTAATATGCAGGCCTTTATCTTTTTTCCAGATGTTAGTTCTGATTCCTTTAGTAAATATTTACCTAGCAGGGTGACCTGGTATCTTAGGTTTATTGCTTAGGTTTATTGCAAAGAGAAGCCGAGCTGTCCTTTTTCATCTATTTAAAGGAAGATATGGCCATACATTGTGGTACGTGGATTATTGTAGTAGAACTTTGTAGTTCAACTGCTACTGTTTAAGTCTTGAACTCTTCTAGTGTATGGTCTATTTTTTTTATTTTTATTTATTTATTTATTTATTTTGACAGGCAGAGTGGACAGTGAGAGAGAGAGACAAAGACAAAAGTCTTCCTTTTGCAGTTGGTTCACCCTCCAATGGCCGCCGCGGCTGGTGCTCTGTGGCCGGCACACCGTGCTGATCCGATGGCAGGAGCCAGGTACTTCTCCTGGTCTCCCATGGGGTGCAGGGCCCAAGCACTTGGGCCATCCTCCACTGCACTCCCAGGCCATAGCAGAGAGCTGGCCTGGAAGAGGGGCAACCGGGACAGAATCCGGTGCCCCGACCGGAACTAGAACCCGGTGTGCCGGCGCTGCAAGGCAGAGGATTAGCCTAGTGAGCCGCAGCGCCAGCCTAGAGTATGGTCTAGAGAAAGTCATTTGACTTCTTCTGCCTTATTATTTCCTGTGAATACACAGAAATGTGGGCCTTACAGAGTATTTATGAGACTTAGGCTTAATAGTGCGCCTAATTTTTAGTAAAATTAAATAGCTGATTTTCTATACTAGAGGACTAGGGCACAAGGATCCCTGATGTAGGAGTTGGAATTTATCCTGGTGAATAAATGATGGCAATAAAAAACAAATCCTATAGATTGTGGCTGAATAAGTATTTTAAGAATTCATTTATTTGTTTGAAAGGCAGAGTTACAGAGAGAGAGGGACACACAGAGAGGTTATCCATCCACTAATTCACTCCCCGATGGCTTAAGCTGCCAAAGCTGGGCTGATCCAAAACCAGAAGCCAGGAGTTTCATCCAGGTCTCCCGTGTGGGTATGGGGCCCATGCACTCGAGCTATATTCCACCTCTTTTCCAGGCCGTAGCCTGGGAGCTGGATTAGAAGTGTAGCAGCTAGGATTCGTACTGTGCCCATATGGGATTCCAGCACCACAGGCATAGGCTTAACCTACAACACCACAGGCAGTGGCCCCTACAACTATTTTCTTAAGTATTGGAGCAATAGGGTTTGGTGGAGATAAACGCAAGATGTTTCACTGGAATAGTGTTGTTGCTTTTTTTTTTTTTTTTTTTTGACCCCTCAAGCACAAAAAATACAGGCAGTAGTGAGTATTAGTTAAAGAAATGAAATAGTTGTTCATCAGATTCTTTACAGGTCATCTTTGATTTTTTGTCATAGTCTCTGAGAGTTCATATTGTTTCACCAGTTCTTACCCTCCCGAATCTGACACACACAGGAAGTATACAACAGTTTGAGGAAGAGAGTTTAACCAGAGGAAAACTTAGTGCTTATTCTCTCTGTTACTTACAGTGTCAGGTTTTTAGCCCAGTCCTATGATTTTTTACAGGTAGTGGTCCTTACTAACACTCCCTTGGAGGATCAGCTGCAGGTGGGTGAGTTCTGCCACAACCATGGCATCAAGCTTGTGGTAGCAGACACACGTGGCCTGTTTGGGTGAGTTTTTATCTTTCCTTCCTTCCTCCAACACTTGCCAGACTCACACTGGGAGGCGTGTATTGCCTTCAGATTCCATTTAGACATCTGAATTTTCAGTTTCACATATTCATTCTCCCAGTATGGCATGATTCGGTGCCACCTAATTGTCACCAGTGTACCGAGTTTGCTTGGCCAGTACTTACTGTATATTGAAGAACCTGCAGTGTCTGTTTTCGTGGGTGTCATGCACCAGTCCTTTTGGTTCCCTCTACAGGCAGCTGTTCTGTGACTTTGGAAAGGAAATGATTGTTAGGGATTCTAATGGGGAGCAGCCACTCAGTGCTATGGTTTCTATGGTCACGAAGGTAAGGAGACCAATCCTAGGGGTTCCAGAATAAGCAGGACGGTACCAAATCATTCTTTGTGCTGGCAGTTGAGCCTGCTTCTGAAGTTTAACTCTTTCTCCATATAGGACAACCCTGGGATTGTTACATGCCTGGATGAGACCCGACATGGATTTGAGAGTGGAGACTTTGTCTCCTTCACGGAAGTTCAGGGCATGAGTGAACTGAATGGCATTCATCCTGTTGAGATCAAAGTTCTGGGTATGTCATAGCCATCACAGGGGTGGGCCACAAGTGAGAAGTGGTTGCTTGGAACAAAGGGAAAGTAGGTGAGCCAATGCAAAAGCTATGTAGTAACATGTCTGCACTTCAAACTAAAATAAAAGTCAAGAATGAGTCTGGAATCTTAGCTGGGACTTAGAGAGGTGTCTGTGAGATCATAGAAAAAGGAAGTTATAAAGTTACCGAGAGACTTTGGAGTGCATGCCACTAGTGTTTGGTTCCATTTGCTTTTAAATTGTTGACTTTAAATTTGTAGTATATCCTTAATATGTGCTTAGTGTAGCTTACGATATTTTGTTGATTCACAGAACCTTAAAATACTTTGATTTTTATCATCTTTGTATCAAATATTTTTGTTTATATGTACCATAAACTTTGCAATACATTATTTACAAAGAAATATAATGAATAAAATCACCCAAATTCTCAGAATTTTTAGTTTTCATCCTGCCTGTCTTTGGGCCCATATTTTCATCAGGTAATATTTTCTTTATGCCTAAAGAATGCCTTTTAACATTTATGTGTACGTGATCATTATTTTTCGTGTCAGAAATTGCCATTATCTTAGTTATTTTTTAAAGAATTTTCTTATGAGTTTAAAGTGTACGTTGACAGTCGTTTTGCTTCAACCCAGAACAACTGTTCTGGGTTACTTGACTGCATTGTTTTCCTCAGTAATTCTTGTTCATACTTTTCTTCCCTTTGTAGTATGCCTGTATTTTCTACCACTGATTATAAGCATTATGATGGTAATTTACCTTTATGTGTTTCTTCATGAGTCATTTCCCTGGGACTTGCTGAATTGATCTCTGAGTTTTTTGCTGTGTGCCATGTTTGGAAAAATGCTAGCCTTTTCTGTTTTTCAAAATAATGCTTTCTCACTGCCCTTCATCCATCATCCCATTTTAAAAAAATATGTATGAGCCAGCACCACGGCTCAATAGGCTAATCCTCCGCCTTGTGGCACCGGCACACGGGGTTCTAGTCCCGGTCGGGGCACCGGATTCTGTCCCGGTTGCCCCTCTTCCAGGCCAGCTCTCTGCTATGGCCCGGGAGTGCAGTGGAGGATGGCCCAAGTGCTTGGGCCCTGCACCCCATGGGAGAGCAGGATAAGCAGCTGGCTCCTGCCTTCGGATCAGCGCAGTGTGCCGGCCGCAGCAAGCTGGCCACGGCGGCCATTGGAGGGTGAACCAACGGCAAAAGGAAGACTTTTGTCTTTGTCTCTCTCTCTCACTGTCCACTTTGCCTGTAAAAAAAATATATGTATGTACTTATTTGAAAGGAAGAGTTACAGAAGGCCATGGGTGGGTGGGTGGGGGCGTCTTCTGTCTGCTGGTTAATGCCCCATATAGCCACAGTGGCCAGAGCTGAGCTGATCCGAAGCCAGGAGCCAGGAGCTTCTTCCAAGTCTCCCACACAGGTGCCAGGGCTGAAGCACTTGTGCCATCTTCCCCTGCTTTGGTCAGGTCATAGAAGAGAGCTGAGTTTGCCACAACACCAGCTCCCCATCATCCCTTCTTAAAGACTTGGATAAAATGTGTATAAGAGCATGTCAGAATCTCATGGTAATTGAAACTAAAATGTTTTTATCTTCAAAGAGCTCTGTAATGCAGTAGGTAATTCTGGTTTTCCAGAAACTTTTAGAAATGCCTTTTTAAACTATCTCATGCTGCACAGTTCACTTATTCTTGGTTTATTCCTTTTCTTTTATTTTACTGTGTCATTTACCAGTCTGTTAGTGGTCTAAATATGATTAATTTTCTCAATAAATTTACTAAAAAAGATTAATGTTAGTGTTATAAATCCTATATATTCACGAAGCTCTAGAAAACAAATGAATATGTTGAGACTTGGAAGATACCAAAGAGACATAAATTTCATTTCTACATATGAAAAATACTTGTGGCTCAGTACAGTGGAATATGACCAAAAAAAGGTTTCTGAAAGAATTTATGGCCAAAATTTTAAAATTTAATGAATGGTAAGGTCACAGGTCATAAGACTCAGTGAAATTAGGTAACAATGGCATTTGATAAACAGTTGTGAAGATTACATACTTTTGGTAGAATTTTGTATATGTTTATTTCTACAGTAATTTGTAATTTTTATAGAGATAATCTCATTTCCACTGAATCACCTAAGGTGAGCTTTTATATTTAGTGAAAACTTGATGTGATCCTATCATTGAGAAAGAAAAAAAAAGTTATCCTATCATTGAGGGAAAAAAAAAAACAATCAGTTTTCCTGACTGCTTTTAATTATTTCATTTTAGTTGAAAGCTAAAGACAGGCAGACAGCAATCTTTTTTAAGGTTTTATTTAAAGAATGAATTTTTTCACAGAACTTCAGGAATATAATGGTTCTTCTCCCCTATACCCCTGCTTCCCACCCCAACTCCCATCCCGCCACCTCTCTGTCTCCCATCTACTTCTTCATTATGGTTCATTTTTAGTTTGATTTTATATACAGTGGACCAACTCCACGTTAAGCATAGATTTCAACAGGTTGCATCCACACACATACACACAGCATAGAGAGTACAGTTTGAGAAAAGATTTGCAGCCGATTCTCATAGTACAACTCAAAAAGGACAGAGGTCCTACATGGGGATTAAGTGCATAGTGACTTCTGTCGTTCCTTTAACAATTAACACTCTTATTTATGACATCAGTGATCACCTGAAGTTCTTGCCATGGGCTGCCAAGACTATGGAAGCCTTTTGTGACCATAGACTACATCGTTATCTGGACATGGCCATAAGCAAAGTGGATGTTCTCTCATCCCTACATCCTTCTTTGATGGTCCTTTCTTTCCTCTGAGATTTCACAGAGATCCTCCATATAGGATGTTTTTTGCCAAAGTCTTGGCTTTCCATGCCTGAAATTCTCTCACAGGCCTTTCAGCCAGACAAGGGAGCCTTAAGGGTTGATTCTGAGGTCAATGTTATTTACTGTGAATGTCATTCTAGGAGTCTGCTGTGTGAACTGCTTCCCATATTTGCCTTTCTTTCCTTTTTAATTCTATGATTATTACCAGGCACTTGATGTTACAAATATGATCACTTTTACACTTAAACCTATCCATATGTTGACTTTAACATTTAATATGACCACTTTAACAGTAAAGATGGCATTTGTACCACCAATTTTTATGTGTTTGGAGTCCCATGTCCATTTTTAGGCTGTACCCTTGGAGTTAAGTCTGCATGACTGTATGCAGAACTGTACTGCTTTACAATTATAGACTACCTCCTCCCTCTCTTATTCCCTCTCTTGTTTTTAACATGTATCTTTTTCCAATTGAATTAAAATACATATGATTAACTCTTATGTTACATAAGAGTTCAGTAGATAGTATGAAGAAGAGAAAAGGAAAAGAAAGAAAACAGAGGAAAAATACACAAAATAAAAAGTGAAAATAATAAACTCTCCCTCGACAGTCAGGTCAAGGACTATTCAAGTCACTGATTCTAAAAGTGTCATTTTTGCTTCTTTAGCTTTTATTTTAGAAGTTCTGTTCTCCCAAGTAAAGGAGACCATATGGTATTTGTCCCTTTCTTTGGGACTGGGTTATTTCACTAAGTATGAGGTTTCCCAACTTGCTCCATTTTGTTGCAAAGGAACGGATTTCATCCTTTTTTTTTTTTTTTAACTGCCATGCATTCCATAGTGTACATATCCCACAATTTCTTTATGCACACTTTGGTTGATGGACATTTAGGTTGCTTCCATGACATAGCTATGGTGAATTGAGCTGCAATAAACATGGAGGTGCAGATAGCTCTTTGTTTACTGATTTCATGTCCTTGGGTAAACTCCCAGGAGTGGGATGGCTGGGTCATATGGTAGGTCTGTGTTCAGATTTTTGAGGTATCTCCGTACTGTTTTCCACGGTGGCTTTACCAGTTTACATTCCTATTGTTGTTTGTTGATTTCTGTACATGAGCCAATCTAACAGGGTGAGGTGAAACCTCATTATGGTTTTGATTTGCATTTCCTTGACAGCTAGAGATCCTGAACATTTTTTCTTGTGTCTGTTGGCCATTTGATTTTCATATTTTGAAAAATGCCTGTTAAAGTCCTTGGCCCTTCTCTTAACTGTGGTGTTTGTTTTGTTCTTGTGGAGTTTCTTGATCTCTTTGTAGATACTGTTTATTAATTGTTTTTTGGTTGCATAGTCTGCAAATAGTTTCTCCTGTTCTGCACTTTCCTGACTGTTTCTTTTGCTGTTCAGAAGCTTCTCAATTTGAGGTAATCTCATTTGTTCATTTTTGCTTTCACTACCTGTGCCTCTGAGGTCTTTTTCAGGAATTCTTTGCCTGTTGCAATGTCTTGAAGGGTTTCCCCAGTGTTCTTGATTAATTTTACAGTGTCGTGGCATAGATTTAGATCTTTAATCCATGTCGAGTGGGTTTTTGTGTAGGGTGTAAGGTAGGGGTCTTCATACTTCTGTATGTGGGCATCCAGTTTTCTCAGCACCATTTGTTGAAGACAGTGTCCCTGCACTAGGGGTTAGTTTTAGCTCCTTTGTCAAATATCAGTTGGTTGTAGAAGTTTGGATTGATTTCTGGGGTTTCTATTCTGTTGCAATTTTGTCTAGTACCAGGCTGTTTTGATTATAACTACCCTGTAGCATATCTTGATGTCAGGTAGTGTGATGCCTCCAGCTTTGTTTTGTTGTATAAGATTGCTTTAGCTATTTGAGGTCTCCTGTTCCCCCATTTGATTTCAGCATTATTTTTTCTAGATCTGAGAAGAATGTCTTTGGTATTTTGATTGGTTATCGCATTGAATATATAAATTGCTTTTGGCAGAATGGACATTTTGATGATATTGACTCTTCCAATACGCGAGAATGGCAGATTTTTCCTTTTTTTATATCTTCTTCTATTTTGTTCTTTAATGTTTTGTAATTCTCATTGTAGAGATCTTTGAAATACTTGGTTAAATTTATTCCAAGGTACTTGATTGCTTTTGTAG